TTAGTTACCAGCAGGCTGATAACTATTAAAGAAATGGCCAGACTAGAGATGGCCGATTAGATCTGCAGCACCACATGAACGGTCACAGCAGTGCACACTGTGTAAGCGGGAGGATGGGGGCTATCCTCGCTTCAGAACAAGGTCAAGGCCAGTCCAGGCTGCACGAGACCTGTGTCATAAGAAAAAGAAATGCTTGGTTGTTTCTTTTATGCTAAATTCTCTGGAATTTTAAAGAGTCTGTGTTCTGTTACATGGCCTTATATGAACCATGTAGTGATATGATCTAGTTTTACATACTATGAGGAAAAAGTACAATGGGTGTGGTTAACACTCTTAACAGTTTCTAGTGTGGAGTAAGAACTCTTGGAGCCTGTTCTGGCACTCTCTCTGTAAACCAGGCTGATCTTGAGCTCACAGAGATCTTTCAAGGTAAAAACTCTTTAAGTGTCTGCCATGTTGGTTTCCCTTGTCATTCTATAGATGTTCTTAGGTCACATAGACCATGTTAAGTTTTCTTTAAGGGAAGAAATGTGTGATATAGGAACTCAGTAATCTTAGGAAGACTAATTTAGTGAACTGATTGTGACTGATACCATAAAGTAGGAGCAAGGTGAAATAATGATATATAACCAAAGTAGTAGTTGTCAGTTGCTGTCCAGAGAAATAGGTTGTCCCTGACAGGTGTTTGTTTCCTGTTCTAAAAAATCAAAAAGTTTCAGTTTTTAGCTCTCTGGTTTTTCAGAGAGCTAGAATTTGGAAGATTTTATAGTTTCTAGTAAACTACAGTAATTTCTTGGGAATGGTTTTTACAGTGATGCCGTCTGTCTCTTAGGTTATAGTCACTAAGCCAGAAGTCTGAGTTCAGTGATCTTACTGCCTTCAAAGTAAGTTTTTAAATTTGACTGTATTCTACGTCCTTAAGCTTCACCATAGTCATTAGGGCCTAATGCAAACACTATACTTTCCTGTGCATTAGTACAGTAGCCTTCCCAGTCTCTCATCACCCACCCATCCCTGTTAACAAGGGCCCTTGCGTTTAGGGTTCTTTTAGAAAACTAAAGGGATTGAGGATAAGTAATGCAGGATAAGTAAGGCAGTTCAGATCCACATGCCTACTCCTGACTTTTGTTTCATTTTCTCTATAAATTGGAACTCTGCTACAGGTAAAACAGACAGATTTCTCTCTTATGGCTTTGCCCAAAACTGTAACTGATTTTTTTTTTTCCTAGCATGCATGTGAGTGAGTTGTTGCTCCCAGAGAGCTAGGATGAAAAGAGACACTGACCATGGCAATTCTTGTAAAGGAAAACATTTAATTGGGGGCTGGCTTACAGCTCAGGGGTTTAGTCCATTTTAGTCACGGTAGGAAGCATGGTGGACACTTGCATACGTGGGCTGAGAATTAGTTCTACATCTGGATCCGCAGGTAGCAGGAAACCTCAAGGCCACACCTACTCCAGCAAGGCCCCACCTCCTAATAGTGGGGGAGGGGGCATTTTCATTCAAACTACCACAATGGCCAAGAGTTGGAATAATACTGTTGTGTGAATAGCAGTCAGAGAAGCCGGTTTTATTGTTGTTGTTTGGGTTTTAGTTTTGAATTAGGTGTATCTGTATGTGGGTATGTACATGTTAGTATAGGTGCCAGTGGAGGCCAAAGGGTTTCAGATTCCCTAGAACTGGTGTTACAGGTAGCTGTCTATGGGTGCTAGTAACCACAGCTGAGTTCTCTGCAAGCATAGTGTGCACTGTGTATGCTCAGTATGTGCAAAGCACATATTTCTTTACTGCTTTGCTTTAATTTCTGATTTTCCAGGCTGGAGAGGTTGTTCAACATTTAACAGAACATGCTACTTCTAAAAGACAGGAGGTCATTTCCCAGTATCCACTTGGCAACCTAGAATTGCCTGTACCATCAGCTCCAGGGTATCTGACACCCTCTTCTGACTTCCACCCACACACAGATACACATATACATAGTTACAAATTTAGAAATTACAAGTTTGACTACATAAAAATCATATATTATGACAGACAAGTATGATTTGTAGATGCTATTGCATTATGAACATGTTTTCAAACACTTTCTTTGTGATTAGAAAAAATATTAAAAACCTAACCTTTTAATTTCTTCTAACCTTTTAATGTGCAGGTTTTTTCTGAATTGTTCTGTACAGTGGTATTAGGAATTTGTGTCAAGTATCTGTTGAGTGGTTTATGAAACGACAGTGATCAATAAATAATATTGTATTTCTTACACCAAGCATGATGGCATACATCTCGAATCTCCTAACTCTTGAGAGGCAAAATCAGGTGGAATTCAGTGAGTTTGAGGTCAGGTGTGTCTACATGTCAGAACCTTGTCTCAAAAAAAAAAAGGGAAAATAAAGAACATTGTATTTCTGATTATAGCATCTTGGAAATAACTGTCCTTTTTTGTGTTCTGAAAAAGATAAGACCTAGTCTTAGACAGTCAGGACAAAGAAGCATGTAGCTTTCTTCTCGTTCAGCCTATCCCCTCTGTCTGAAGTTGGCTACTCTGCCTTATGAACTGAGTATTTTCAAATTATATCAAAAAGCCCAGATAATCCTTGTGTTGATGTTGAAAGTGTGGTGAAGCCAGCAGTGTTTAATTTAGAGCATTGTTAATAATAAAATAGAGTTGCAAATTGTTCTGGCACATCATGAGATAATGTTAAATGAATTATTTAGTGTTAAATAAAAAAGCCTTTTAAACTATTCATGGTTAATGAAAATATTTTAAGATTAAGTTCTTTTGAAATGTGTTGTGTTTTCAGTCCATAGACTAACCTTTTGAATTTCGAGTCATAGGATGTCCTCTTTTAATTAAAACAAAACTCTGGGAATTGACTTTTTTAAAAGGTATAATAGAAAGGTTACATTTTTGTATGAGCTCTTTAAAAGAAAACAACAGTGTGTTCCTTTATGTAAAATAATTGATGCCTTGAGAATAAATGTGACACAAACTCTGATGATGAAAATGACTTTTAGAATTGAAAGGAAAGTGTGCCTCGTGAACATGAATCAGAGTGCAGAGACTACAGATAAATCCAGGATGCAGGTGTGGCAAGGATAAGCTGCCATTTATAAAGAGCATGTGTCTAAGCGCACTGCACGTGGGACTTGAGGTGCAGGGTAAAGGGGGCGGTTGGTGTGGAAAAGAGGCTGGTGCTGCCTCCAGAAGAATCAGGGAGGGAGGGAGGGAGGGAGGGAGGGAGGGAGGGAGGGAGGGAGGGAGGGAGGGAGGGAGGGAGGGAGGGAGGGAGGTGCTTGAAGCAGGGAAGGTAGTCTGATGGCAGCATGGGGATTTCCACCTGGAGAGGCCAGTCCCCTGTGAGCTGGGGGTGGGGGCGGCCTGGCTACAGTCAGAACACGGGTGTTGTGTTTAGAAACACACTGCCACTTAATCATACCTGTGCCTGTTTTGTTTTGCCAAGGAGTTACACATGCCTAGGCCTATACTTTGTGGACATTTCTTGTCTGTCTCCATCTCCCTCTTAAGACCAAGAGGTCTGACCCCCAGTCTCTACAAGACTGCTTCTCTTAGGAGAGTCTGTCTTTTTGTCCTTCCCTGTACCCCTGAGCTTCCCCGTACCGGCTTACCCTCGTGCACCGTGTGGTCCCTTCTCTCCATATCACTGTCATCTGACTGAATGCTGCCTTCCCTGTCCTCAGGACTGCTGTTAACTGACTCAACATTTGGTTAGTTAAGTCTCAGATGACCCTTTAACCAAATTGGGGTATTTTCTTTTAATTTTTCTTCTGATTATAAAAGTCATAGGTGTTTATTATAGAGATTTGAGGAAACTCAGCAAAAAATAATCTTAAAATGTGCTAATTTCCCATCTTTCATGTACTTCCACATTTAAAAAAAACAACTGAGGCTGGACAAATGGTTTAGCAGTTACAAGAGCATACTGTTCATCCAGAGCATCTGGGTTCAGTTTACAACCACTTAAAACTCCAGCCCCATGCAGTCCAGCACCCTCCTTTGGCCTCCTTGGGCCCCTACATACTGACATGCACACACACAGAGTGATAACACGCATACATAAAAAATAAATTAAAAAAACCTTCAGAAGCCAAGCTGTTTTCTGGCTTGGCTCTTGGTTTCTTGGTGGGACCCATTGCATTCATTAATTCCTCAGTGAGGTTCATAAGGGATAAGCCCAGGTATTTTTCCAAAAAATACTTTTATTTCATGCTTATTCTTCAATTATAAGTTAGTCAGGTATAGTAGGCAATTTTCTGAGGTGTGTTACATTTTGTATTCTGATACCCTGCTGGTGAAAAATCTAAAGACACAATGATACCCTCTGTGTCTTTAAAAATAGTCACTTTTGTGAGCTGTACTTTTCCCCTCTTAAAACAGACTTTTGGATTTACTGTGCTTATAAACCAAATGGATTAATTTTTAAGATGCAAATTTAGTATACAAATGAAAGTCATTGCTTAAGAAGATATAGAAACTCCTGAGTAGTGTCTTCATGATAATACATGGGATGGTGTGTTTGTGATTTTCTTTTTCTTTCTGAAGGCAGTATTTTGAGTCACATTTAATTCAGATAGAGTCCTGCAGTGTTCTAGACCAGTGCAGTTGAGGCTTCTGTGGTGACAGAAATGCTTTGAACATCAGTGTCTGATCCGGTGGCCACTGGTCACTGGACAGTGAGTGTTGGTTTGCTTTACTCACCTTTATTTTTTGTCAGCATAGTGGAAGCTTTGTATTGATCACCTGATGAATTTTAGACAATAATCATTCAAGACAGTTTGTTTTGCTACAAGAGTTTGGACTGTAATGACATAACTTGTATGGGGCTAGTTTTTACATTGTAATCATTCTTCTGTGTTTCTAACTATTATGGTAAAGCTACCGTGCTATTCTGAGCTTACTTGCTTACATGTTACTAGTAATTGGCATAATTCTACAGGATCTACTCTACTAAGCAGTGTATTAACAATGCCTTCTGTTTTTTCAGATTGCAAATAGAAGAGTCTTCCAAACCTACAAGACTATCGCAGCAGCTGGACAAAGTTGTAACAACCAATTACAAGCCTGTCGCTAACCATCAGTACAATGTAAGTCTTCTGTATGGGTTTCATCAGTTCTCAGTACCACAGACTTTAGGCTCCAGACCTTCGCAGTCATGCAGCTTGCTGTGACATAGAAAGGAGCTTGATCTATGTCTGGAGCTACATGGCAGAAGGGAACCACTGTCCAAATTGCTCTTGATCAGGTTTTGCAGAGAGATAATAACACTTTATTCTAGATGTCTCTAATCACAACATACTTTGTAAATGTAAATTTACTAATTTTTTGTTTTCTGTATCTATATGGTTTGCTATACCAGTTTTAGTGTGTTCATTTTTTAAATGTTACTTTTAAACCTTAATCTTAAGGAGCAATGGTAGTTGTCCTTGTTGATTATTAAGGTCGCTTTGCTTCATGTCATGCATCACAGGCATTTTTATGGTCCTTCACTCCTATACAAAGTAGGGGCTGCCCACTTTGAAGTATATGTATAGAACAATTTGTATACATTTCTATTGAAATGTATGTATAGAACAATTTATGATAGAGATGCAAACTATCCTCTTATGTATCCTAGGTGTGTGTGCATTATTTTCATCACTACTACCTTTTGAAGTAGAACTACTATTACATACATGAGTAAAACTGACCAGTTCAAATATTCAACCCAAGCAGTCTGGTTTAGGAGCTGTGCTGACTAATTTTATGTCAACTCGATACTAGCTTGGGTCTGTTGGGCAGCAGGCGCTTCATTGAGAAATCGCCCCCACTGGAGTGGCCTATGGGCAAGTCTGAGGTGCATTTTATTTTGTTGTTGTTGTTTTTATGAGACAGGGTTTCTCTGTATTGTTTTGGAGGCTGTTGGTCCAGCCTGGCCTCGAACTCACAGAGATCCACCTGCCTCTGCCTCCCGAGTGCCGGGATTAAAGGCGTGCGCCACCACCGCCCGGTGAGGTGCATTTTCTTGATTGATGATTGATATAGGAAGGCCCAGCCCATTGTGGGCAGTGCTGTTCCTGCACTGGTGGTCCTGAGTGCTATAAGAAGGCAGGTTGAGCAAGCCAATAAGTACCATTCCTCCATGGCCTCCTCATAAGTTCTTGCCTTAGGTTCCTGCCTTGAGTTCCTTGGATGATGCACTACAAGTTGTAAGAGGAAATAAACCCTTTCCTCCCCAAGTTGTTTAGGTCATGGTGTTTCTTCACAGCAATAGAAACCTCAACAAAACAGGAACCAAATGCTTACCTACTGTTTGTGTTAATTGTAGAGTGTTAACAGTCTAAGGGAGCACAGGGAAAGGTGATTAGTTCCTGAAGGTAAATGCAAGTCTAAATAACAGATAGAATCTTGTGTCCTGTGCTGTTGGCTGATTTCCTTTTGGTCTCAGTTTGGGAAAAATAAAACCTCCATAAGATGGGCCTTAAGCACCCAGTGCCACAGAATGGTATCTGAGTTCCTTGTGCTTATTTTGTATAAGATAGCAAATGCCTCCAGGGTTTTTAAAAAAAGGCGTCTTCAGTGGGCAGAAGACTGAGATTTACTCACTCATTACAATTCACTACACTGACTGGATTAAAGGAAGCAGGCAGCGGTTCAGCTGTGTAGCCCCTGGTGGTGCTTTAGGGGGAAAGTAACCCTAAGAAGAGAAGCAGGGAGCTAAGTGGAGTCGGCAGTGGTGGTAACATGAGAGTGCTGGTTTTCTGTTGTCAGTCGATTGAGACAAGGGAGTGAAAGGCAGTTGAGTTCTCCCTTTGGAGTAGGAAGGGGGTGAGCTCTAGGCAAGAGTGTCTGTAGCCAGCCCATGACAGACATGTCTTCTCTGGGTAGCAGATGTTTCCTGTGCCTGCGAAGGAATCCCTGGTGACCTGCCTTCCTGAGCCACCACCTCGTCCTGTGCCTTTCCTTCCATCTATCCCAAGTTGGGGCATGGCGAACATTTCCTTTGAAGTAGGGAGCACAGTTTTCTGTAGTATTAGCCACCACTTCCCCCTAATTCCACTGCAAATAGGCCATTAGTCCTAAGATGAAAGGCAAGTCCCCTCAGGAGGATAGAAGCTGAAGCTTTGTAGGGCAGCTCAGACCTCTGCCTAGGTCATTTTCTTAGTCACATTAACACTCAGCCTGGCATTAGCATTGTATGTTAAAATACGTTGGTATTGTGCTCTATTTTACTGCTAAACTTAGTACAGAGTCACTGTGTTCTGAATTCTTCATTAAGATATAAAACTGTAGGGCATTTGTTTTAATAGTCTCTTCACATCAAGTGATATTTCAGTTCAAGCATCATACCTTTATTAGGATTGTTATGATATAAATGAGTGTAATGAGTTATCTAATAACTGCATTGAGACTGTTTATATAGAGACAAAGCATTTGAGTACTTAGTGATTGTTTTCTGTCAAAACAGGTCAAAATGGGCAGAAGCGCTTGCATAGCTTTAGAAACCATGTGATAGCAGTTATAGAAAATACTATTATACTGTGCCAAACCTTGCTTATTTATCCAAAAGAAACACTAATTTTTAAAATACTAAGAAATCAACATGGTTTAAAATGAACAAGTTAGAGGTCACATAATAAAACTTTTAATAAAATTCAAATCAGTATAGTAGTGCAATATTTCCAAAGGTTTATGTCATTGACTCAGTGATTTATTTATTAGTTGAGGTTTTAAAAAAGAAAGTGCAAGATTACACAATTGTACAAAATCTGTAGTCATTTTTTTGTTAGCATTATTGCCCATAGTAGGTAAGATGGTTATAGCTAAACACTGGCACTACTTAGATCAGAATTAAACACACCAGAAAATGTCCACCGTACGCATCAATCCTGTCAATCATTCTGTGCTCTTATTCAGCTCTTATGCTAGTCATACATTGTCAACAAAAGAGTAGAAATTGTAGCGTTGGAGCAGTTCACTATGGTCTTATCAAAATACCAATATCACTGTAACTGTGGCTTGTCCTCCATCTTTGTTAATGACTCAGTTGTGTCTCTCTTGAGAATTGAAACAACTCCAGGTACTTAAAGAAAAGGGGGATTTAGTATAAAGAATCAGCTGTCACTATAACTACAGAATGGAAGGTCATGATCATGAAAGGGAGGTTTAGCTACCAGAGAACTGCTGAAGGAAAAGGGAAGGAAAGAAAATCCCCTCCACTTACCATCACTTCTCTGTTGGCAGCAGGGAGCTGGAAATCAGCTAAACAATAAGACTTTGGAAATGTAGCCTGCCACTCTGAGCACCACCACCAAGGCCTGGAGCTAACAGCTTTGACTATGAAAATAACTGGCCCTTAACCTTTATGAGTTTTGTACCTTATTATATTAGCTATTGGTAGTATAAACTTAAGAGTTTGCAATGCTTTTGAAAACTAAATGTCCTAAAAATAGATGACTATTTTTATTCTTTCCAGATCACTATATTTTGAATGTAAATAATAAGGGTTTACTTGATGATTTGTTTTTCTGGTGGAGGGAGGTTATATTTTGGGGTGCTCAAGTATGTGTGTTCATGTGAAAGCCAGAGTCCACATTGAATGTCTTCCTTGCTTAGTTACTGCCCATCTTTTTTTTTTTTTTTTTTTTTTTTTTTTTTTTTTGAGGCAGGGTCTCTAGACTGAACCTACTTGTATTGATTCAGCTGGACTGGCTAGCCAGCAAGCCCCAGATTGCTGAATTCAGTCTTCATTTTTTAGAATAAGTAGTGATTTTGTTTATTTAATCTATTTTAATTGTGTGTGCAACTCATAATATCCATGTATTAGTATAGAATGATAAATTTAACTTATTAAAATATACATGTGTGATTCATTCTTTATGTTTTGCTGATAGAAATGTTAGTCAGATAGTGTAGTCTGGCCAAGTGTGATGTCACACACTTTTAATTCTAGCACTCACTCTTGAGGCAGATGGGTCTCTATGTGTTCAAGCCTTGTCTGTTCTACATTGTAAGTTCCAGGCCAGCCAGGGCTACATAGTGAGTCCCTGTCTTTAAAAAATAAAGAAGTATAATTAGGGGCTAGATATGTATACCTCCTTTGGTAAAGTGTTTCCCTGAACTTGAAAACACTGCATAAAATTGGTCATGCTTAGGCAGGGAGTTGGTGGTGCGTGCCCTTAATCCCAGCACTTGGGAGGCAGAGGCAGGCGGATCTCTGTGAGTGAGTTTGAGGCCAGACTGGTCTACAAAGTGAGTGCCAGGATAGGCTCCAAAACTACACAGAGAAACCCTATCTTAAAAAGTTTAAAAAGAAAAAAAAAGTTTGACCATGCTTGTATATGCTTGTAACCCCAGCATGCTTGAGGTAAAAACAAAAGGATCAAAAGTTGAAAGGTTATTCTCAGCCCTAGCAAGTTTGAAGCCAGCCTAGGCTACATGAGACCCTGTCTAAAAATACACTTGAGTAAAATAAGCTTCTCCGAGTCAAAGTAACTATGCTCCTGCCTGGCAGACTTGCCATCGTCTGCCCATGTGACTTTTACATGTACTCTGTGGTCTTGTAAAGAGTGCTGTCTGTGGTGGTTCTCAGTGTGGCTTGTATGCTAGAATCACCCAGAAGGATGCTTCCCTGAAGAGGGTTGAAGTGCCTCCAGAAAGTAACTCAGTTGATGGAGTGTGGATTGTGTTTTAAGCTCCTGTGTTATTTGCAGCCACCAATCCGAAGACAGGAACTTTTTATAGTTGTCTGCCATCTGTTGAGAAGGGAATGGGGTTCTGTAATGGCACCAGAAAATGGTCCTCTCTCTTGAGATGTATCTTCTCACCTTTGTTACCATCCCTACCCTCTTGTTCTGAGTTCAGTAAAGGACTTTGATGTAGCTTTTGGTGCTAGAGAAACTAAGAAAAGCTAACTGGAAAGCACTCGTTGAAATAATAGAGTTGTTACATAAACCCTCCAGGTAACACCCTCCTCCCAGGAACATTTATGTTTATGCATTGCCCTTTCCCTTCTGTGAGACAGCCAACTTTGAGCCTTGAGTTTTTCACAGGTAGGTGCTGACATTTTTACTTTTGATCATTAAAATGGCTGCCCATAGGACTATCTCATAAGGGCTTTTCAGCAGTATTACCCTGGCATAAGACTACTACATGCCTTGTCCTTTTGAATTTTGACACCAAGGACTGACCTGTTCTGAAGAATTACTTTTCTCCCAAGAGATGATGACACGATAATCAGAAATAGAAGCATTGACAGAGGGGAGAAGGAAGTAATCTTTCTCAAGGATTTAAAATACAAAACCATGATAGTCAAGGCTGTCACTATCACTTCAGAAGTTGGAATAAAAGCCTCACAAAGACTGCCTTGACAAAGCAATCAGAGTATTTCTGCAAACAGCAGTCTGAAATTTACAGACATCTGAATTATAATATTTTAATTGGTAGTGGGTGACATTTATAATTTTAGTCAGTGATTAAGATTTCAGTAATAACGATTGAGTATGTCTATACCACATCCACAGTCGATTTTCAACATGTAGTTACATTTAATCTTGAATAACTTGTTGTCTTGAAAATAAAATTAATTTCATCTGATAAATTTGGGGGAATATAAAACATTTATAACTGGAGACTAAGCTTATAGTACCTTCTGAGTTAACAGTTTATCTTTAACAATTAGCTCTGCAGTGATATGGTCAGTGGAGGCAGATTCTTATGACATAACAATTACTTCTGTTCCAGTAACTATCTTAGTAATTTATACATTGTCCTGGCTGCTAATGAGCTGGCTGGCTGGCTGGTTGGCTGCTTTGCGTATTGTTCCCTGCAATTCCAATGGGCATCAATGAGAAGCAAAATGCCCAATGGGAAAAGAAAAAACATTGCCTCAAAGTAGTCTTCTGGATACAGCCGTTCATAGTATTGAAAGTTTATTTGCATGGCCTTGTTTGTAGCATTAAATTGAGTAAAATACTAAGGACACTGTTGTTTATACTGTATAGCATAAAAACGAACAGTTACTTTAAGGTCTTAGCTTTGTCCTAAGTACAACATTAGATATTAGTAGGGCTGAAGAGATGACGCAGCATTTAAGAGCACGGGCTCTCTTCCAGAGGACGTGAGTTTGATTCCCAGCACTCCTGTGGTGGACTCATAACCCCTAGATCTCCAGTCACAAGGGATCCTTGCCCTCTTCTGGCCTTTATGTGCACCAGGCACACACTTGGTACACAGACATACATGCATGGCGAACATCTATACACATGAAAGGAAAAAACAATAGCATTGCGTATTAATAGCTTGAGGCATCTAAGTCTCTTTTAATAGGATATGAACATGGGGCCTACTTGACTGATAATGCCACAATGAGAATTTGGATTATGAACCTGTCTTAGACATTACCAAAGCAAATTTAACCAATTTATTCTAAAACAGTCTTTTTCTGTAAGTTCTCCATAGTATGGACTCTGAGAACACTAGGTAACTGTTCTGCATTCCCTGTTGGCAGTGGGCACCCCAGGTAGTGCTGCTCTCTCTCTGCCTGTAGCCATTGCAGCTTTCTGCAGTGCTCCATCTGCTCAGAGAGCATTCTTTGCTGAGGGCTGAGCGCTGCTTCCAGGGCTGCTGTGTGAAGATGCATGGAAGTGTGGGCACATGGAACATGGTCCTAGTGTCTTGGTTTTATTTGAATAAGAGGTGTGTTTTACAGGTAAATTTAGAGGACACCTAGTATAAGATAAAGCGAAGATTCAGAAGGATAGTCTGCTCGTGTCCCTGCTGGGTGTATTTACCTTTCTTGTCCAGAGGCAGCAGCTGGGGGCTAGAGGGCGGAGCCTCTCTTCCCAGGGCTTCCCTTACTTCTCAGGGGCTAGAGAACCTGCCCTGATTCCAGCATGTGCCGGAGGACTCCGGCTGGTACCTACCAAGTGTGGTTTATGTCAGAAAATTATCTTACTGTATTTTGTTTAATCAAAAACAAACTGCAAGTTAGTTTCTGGCTAGTCCAGGCTAACCAGGAAGAAAACCTACTTGGGGAAAATGAACACATTACATGAAGCTTCAAGAAAGACTGAAAATGGTTTATAAAGCAGTGTTATAACTGTCCTAGAGCCTGAAAGGTACTGGGAGTGGGGCAACAAGACCCCAGTTCTGAGTCCCTGCCAGAGACCAGATACCTTGGAACCTTAAATGTAGTTCTCAGATGACTGAAACAGAAATGTTAAGTTGATACCTTCCTTCTGGTTTTGCCTGTAGATTGAATATGAAAGGAAGAAGAAAGAAGATGGAAAGCGAGCCCGGGCAGACAAACAACACGTCCTAGACATGCTGTTTTCAGCCTTTGAGAAGCATCAGTACTATAATCTCAAGGATTTGGTGGACATCACAAAGCAGCCGGTGGTATGTGTGTGTTTATGCTGGTCCTTAAGTGTACCCTGCTTCATTTACATAGCATTAGTGAGGAGAAGCATGATTAAGTTTGTCCCCACTGCTAATGACAGTTTGTGTTGGCACTCAGAAAACAAGTCTTAATTGATGCAGCTATGTCTTTCTTTCTTTCTCTCTCTCTCTGTGTGTGTGTGTGTGTGTGTGTGTGTGTGTGTGTGTGTGTGTGTGTGTGTGTGTGTGTGTTTGAAACAGGGTTTCTCTGTAGCTTTGGAGGCTGTCCTGGAACTAGCTCTTGTAGACCAGGATGGTCTGGAACTCACAGAGATCCGCCTGCCTCTACCTCCTGAGTGCTGGGATTAAAGGCGTGCGCCACCGCCCGGCCAGCTATGTCTTTTGAACATCCGCTCCATTACTTTAGATTTAAAATACATTTCAGAGCCACTGAAATGGCTCACTCTGTAAAGGCACTCATGCACATGCCTGATGATCCCCAAAGCCCACTCCTAAAAGTTATCTTCTGACTGTTACACACACACACTAAGGTCCTCATGTGTGCACACATGTGTCCACACACAGTAATAAAGTGTTAGGGCTGGAGAGGTGACTCAGTGGTTAAGAGATCGGCTGTTCTTCTAGAGACTCACCTTTGAGTCCTTGTACCCACATAGTGGCTTACAACCACCTATAACTCTGGGTCAGGCCAGAGTTACCTCTCTGTCCGCTGCAGGCACCAGGCATGCATGTGGTCCACAGACACTCAAGCAGGCAGACACCCATACACATAAAATTAATAGTAGTAATAAGATGATAGATACATTTAACAGAAATAATTTTATATGGAGAAAAGGAATCTGTATTCTTAACATTAATCTGAGATCTGTTAAATGTTTCACATTCTTTTTAATTTCTGCTGAACTGTTAGTAGCTCAGCTAATGGCTTCTTTCCCTTCGGCTTCACAGCCTGGGAAGCAGCACCTAGCCTGGCTTAAAATATTCTTTGAAGAATAATTTATTAGCAATCTGTGTTTCTTCTGGTTTTAATGACTACTTTTATATGTAAATATGTCTACAGGAAAAGGCCATTCCAGACACTGACAGCAAATAAGCTATTCCTGCAGAATAAACATGCTTACAGTTGGACATAAGGGAATAAGCCCAGTGAAGGAACATTCTAGCAATGCTAGGGAAAGCAAGTTCTTGTTCTTGCCATGGGGTGTTAGGGTTATTCATTGTATATTAAGGGGAGGGATTGTCAGAAAGCCTGTCCACTGCAATACAGAGAAACCCTGTCTCGAAAAACAAAAAAAGAAAAAAGAAAAAATCTGTCTGCTGTAGGCGTGGTGGTTCATCTTTGTAATCTTAGTACTCAGAGGCTCCAACGGGAAAAGCCAAAGCCTAAGGCCAGTGTGTACAAGCGTCTTACAAACGTTTTCAGTTCAGTTTGCTTTTTTGTTGTTGTAGTTGTTGTTGCTGCATTTCACTCTTTGTGTGTGGGTGTTTGCCTGGGGAGACATTGGATGCTGGGATTGAACCCAGGTCATCTGAAAGAGCAGCCAGTGCTCCTCACCACTGAGCCAGTCACCTCTGCTGGTCAGATAATTGTTATGTAGTGGTACTTAGTGAGTCTCTTGCCCTAGAGCACCAGATTCCTCACTCTACTGAACTAGGATGAACCTCAGGAGATGTACTCCCCTAAGGCCCGAGACCGGATGAGTAGCTTGTATCAAATTCTCATGGTGGGGGTCTGCTGTGTAGCAAGCAGTCAGAGACTGCACCACCTCAGCACCACATCTGTTTTGGAGAGGAGCTCTTGCTGTGTACTGGCTGAAACTTAACCATGTTGCTCAGACTAGCTGCAAGTTCTCTGTTCTCCTGCCTCAACCTTCTGAAACAGGTTGTGCCATCTCTGGCTCTTAATCTTCGGTCAGTACCAAGTCTCCAACCATGAAGTCCAGCCTATGACAAATCCTCTGCAGTATTGGCGTATTGGTACTATCTGCATCCTGACTCTTATAATGTCATCGTTTTCTCTCTCCCCCCACACACACACTTCCTGCTTCCCCCCTCTCCTCTCCCTCCCCTCTCCATCTTTCACATCCCATCCTCCACCCCCACCCCACTTTTTCTTACTGCCTTGCTGCCTCACTTATATAGCCTAGACTGACCTCAGACTCAAAATCTTCCTGCCTCAGCTACTATAGTTCTGGGGTTAAAGACACATGCCACCATACTTACCTGTGGTTTTTTCTCTTTATTATTTTTTCTTCCTAAAAACCTTCATTTCTACAAGCAAACTTACTCATCGCAGAAACTACTAGGGTAAGGTAGTCTTTATGTCGTATAGCTTATATAGGCAACCAGAACAGTAGACAAGCAAGTTAGAAAAGGCCAAGCTTTGGTGCCTAATACAAATTCAGCAAAATGATATCTATTTAGTAGAATGTTTGTATGTGATTCAGCCTTTAGCTGTTTCTTCTCTCTCTAAAATATGAAACATTGGGGGTTGGAGAGATAGATGCTCAGTGGCTGGAGCACTGACTGCTCTTCCAGAGGACTAGGAATTGGTCCCAGTGCCACATGACAGTGCATAACCATCCAGAATATAGGGGGTGGTGCCGTCATCTGGCTTCTGTGGGAACCTGGTGTGCATATAGTGCACAGACAGACAAGCAAAACACTCACATGAAATAAAACAGACTTTAAAATAAAAGTAAGATAGGAAACCTCAGGGAACTTGTTATTTCTCCCAGCTCTTGGTGATCTTTAACATTTGCTGTGTTTTGTCTAGTCTTCCTCCATGTTTTATCCATAAAATAGGAGCACACATACATTTCCTCTAAAAGTACAAGCCTTTGAAAAGTTTAGTTGTACCCTTTGAAACATTAAACTGCCGAGAGCACTGAGACCGAACACACTGGTTCTAGCATCTGCCCTTTACGTCCCTATTAATGCTGTAGAAAGCCAGCTCTGATTATGGCAGAACCTTGTCATTTCCTTGCATACTTTATTCTCCTGGGTGTATTTATTATTTTATAGGTGTGGGTGTACATGTAGAAGTCAGAGGATAGCTTGGGAGAATTAATTCTGTCTACCATGTAGATTCCATGGAGCAAACTCAGTCATCAGGCATGGCTACAGGTACCCTCGACCACTGAGCCATTTTACCAGCCCCAGCATAACATGAATTCTGATTGTTCTTAAATGAAAACTCAGAGTCAAATACTGGAGTTAATGCTGAAGATCAGAGACGCAAAGCAGCCAGTCACTAGAGAGTTTTCACCTCTACCAGTGCTCAGAGCAAAGGGGTGATCCTGTCCTCAGACTGCATCCTCCAACTGCATTGAGCTCCTGTCTCCTCCAGCATTTTAATAGAGTAGGTTGAGTCACAAGAAAAACTAGGTGCAACTTAGTGTTCATGCTTGAGCAATCCTGCCCAACAAACACTCACTTATTTGAAAGGTAAGTGTTCCATAAACAGCAGTTGTAACTCTGTGTCTGTAATTGGTGGGATTAGCCCAAGACTCACAGGCTATTTCCAGATAGGCCTAAGTAAAGAGCTAAATGAATAATAAAGATCTGGAGAAATGGGTCAGCAGTTAAGAACACTGTGCTGTTCCAGAGAATCCAGGTTTAGTTCCCAGCACCCACATGGCAGCTCACCACTGTCTGTAACTCCAGGTCCAGGGGATCCAGTGCCCTCATCTAGTGTTCAAGAACTCTAGATGCATATGATGCACATGCATGAAAATATACACATAAAAATGAAAATAAGTAAGTTTGGGGCATTTATATTCTTCCAGGAGACCTAGGTTTGATTCCCAGGTCCCATATGGTGGCTCATAGTATCTATAACTCCAGTTCGAGGAGACCCAACAGGCCAAATACCCATACACATAAATCTTTTTAAAAATGATTTGAATAAAAGTAGTTTAAGTAAAATCTGGAATAAAAAAAACTATGGTATTTCTCCTAGGGTAAAATAACTAGAGAATTTGAAATAGTATATCTTTCCCATCAAACCTAAAAATCTTCAAGCATATCCTATTAGGAGTCTATGAATAGGTGATGATTTTCAATTACAAGGGACAGAAACCAACTAAAACTAGTGTCAACAAAATTAGAATGTGTTGCCTCGCTTTGTTGTAAAGTTCCAGACCGTGGCTTTAGAGATAGTTTGAACTAGCTACTGGTGTTATCTAGCTAGAACTATTCCTTTCCCTCTTTCCATTTTCCTTGTCTGTTGTCTTTATGTGTAAGCAGATGCTTACCTGTTAGGGTAGCCAGAATGGCCTCCTCCCAGCTAGCAGCCATGCAGAAGATCTACCCTGGTTATTCCTGTAAAAGACCCAGGGTGGGTTCTAATATATTCAGTAGGAGTTGAGTGTCTGCTTCTGAACTAAGAGGATCAGGTCAGGAAATGAGCTAGCCAGCCAAAGCCACTGTTCCTCCCACCCTCTCCTGGCCAGTGTTAACTTCAGATATAATGTATTCAAAGCAAAATTTAGGAGGGAAGCTGTGCGTGCAGTTTATGTACACGCTGTGGACATGGTGTCATTCTCAGGTGCCTCCTGTTCTCTGAGACTCTCCCTGGCCTGGGGTTTCAAATTAGTCTTAGGTGGCTAGCCATCAAGCCCCAGGGATCTGCCTGTCTCTGCCTCCTCAGTGCTGTGATTACAAGCACGCCCTTCCATGCCCACCTTCTCCACGGGGCTTCTAGGGATCACACATAGAACATCATGCTTGCTTGGCAAGCACTTTACTGATTGTGCCATCCCCGAAGTTCCAGAACCGAACTTGGTTTCCATACCTCAGCAAGCCTTTAGTAAGTGATACTGACACCCAAAAAATTCCTATTTCTTCCTCGTGCTATGAGCTACAAATCCTGGCCTGTGGGCCTCCTACTTGGGCCCTTAAAGTAAAAGGTAGCATAGAGACTAATTTTCTCTCATTTCCTTTTAAGATTTGTTTTTATCTTATGTGCTTTGGTGTCATTGAATCCAAATCTTAACAGC